CTGACCGGACGTCCGTCACGGGGCATCTCGGAACCTCATCAACCCTTTGCTGTGCTGACCTCGGTGCAGGACTCAATCTGCTTAATCACGAGTTTCAGTAACAGACTTCGAGAAAAACTACTGTTTCACCACTGCCTGAATTGTTTTCCCGCGACAGTTCGATAAGAAAGCATCTCGGATGGCCTGAGATATCCTCCTGATGCTGTCGCAGCCAGTGCGTACTGTCTCAACTGGAACAAGGTCGGTGCACTTCACTCGGCAGATGCTTCCTAAACAACGGCGGTCAAATGCTCCCAGTTCCCACTCATCTCCCATGTGCAAATCCCAGCATCCACAACCATAGAGAACCACTCGGATGGATGCAGGACACACGTGGAAAATAGTGTCGGTGGGGACGTCGCGTCAGTCCACAGGCGCCTTACAGAGCTCCAGAAAACCGCACCGATACGGCAGGCAATGTCGTCCTTACTCTGTCCTTTGAACAGCAACCTCGTCTCGGGTATTTCAAAGTGACTTCTTTCCAAAATGACACCGACTAATTCCGAGGGGTGCCTTACCCTGGCCAGGGACGCAGCTCGACAAAATTCGGCATCCCTAGCGTTTGTGGATAAACCGACCGAAGAAGCGACCGAATTCAACCACGACCAACAGGCTGCCAAGGCGATATCGCCAGAGTAGACAAGACCGGTCAACTGACGTCCCGGTGCGAACCCAACACAGCCAAGACCGTGTAAGCCCCTCCCGGTAATGTACCCAATGACCCAGTTGGACAGGACGGACAACAGGAGATATCCTCACCGAACGCCACATCAGATATCGACCAGCTGATTGCGATTATTATGGATCAGAACATGCGCAGTGTTCGCACGGTGACAGGCCTCGTCCATGGCCATGATTTCTCCCGGCATACCATCTGATCCCATTATTCGCCACGGGTACTCACGATGGTTGTAGTCAAACGCATTGACAATATCAATAAGACGGATGGCCGCCGGTTGTTGTCGGCCATGGCGACACACCAGACTGCGCCTCAGTATGAATATCTGGTCCACGCCCAACTCTGAATTCGACTTGGATGGACCTCGTCTGAAAATCACAGACAGCCTGGGACCACCCGAGGATAATAGCAAGAAGTCGCGTGGACCACCGTGGCAGAGTGAAGTGAAAGTCGACTCACACCTCCGGTACCAGGGCCCAGAAACGTTCGCAAGCTCTTGTATCCATTACCAAGAGTCCGCTCCAGACTGACTAGTCCGGTTCGCATACTATTCACGTGTGCCATCGGACCAGAGTTACGGAGCGAATCGGTCCCATCGGATGCCGTGGCATGGATCGTAATACTGTAGTCGGACACTACCGTGAGGTCCTTGAGTAGAGGCGAATTCCTAAAGGTCACTTGGTTTGTTAGAGGCTGTCTGTTCTCGCTCTTTGGCTCTAAAGCCTAGCCACTAGGTAGAGGTGGCGAACTTACACACTGGCTGTTCACGGCCGCCATGTCAAAGTGCCGTCACCGGGACTTCTACACTCTATGAGGCAGTCGCCGTGCCAGACCTCGGCCTGTCGTGATCTGGTAGCATTGTTGCTGCTGGTCCGCCAGGCCCAAGAACACGCTTTTGTTAGCGGCAATCTCGGTCCACTCTGTCCTTGCGGCGGCATTCCGGGTGACTCCAATGGTTTCGTAAATTCCTTCGTTAATCGTCCCAAGAGTTTAGTGCTGTTGCTCTTACTTTGACCACAACTCCCGACCGGAGGCAACGCAGATCTTAGCAGAGGCCCAACCCAACATAGCCGGTTAGAGCACGTTTTCCTAAATTACATTAGCCAATCAACTGAGATTAGTTACAGCGGATTGTCGCAGGTCGTAAAACGCCATCTGTCGGATCACTAGGTAAGATCACTCACATCAAAAGTAAACTCCCTAAGCGTCCACACCGGAGCTCAGGAGGGCAAGGTCTAGCCCTGCCACGGCAGTCGGGTCCCCGTTCGAAAACGGATCAGCGTCAGACAAGGATCAGCCACGCGAGAGCCCCTGACCAGCTATGATGCCCCTAAACGTGGAAGATGTGTATTCTATTTACAATCATGTCACTGACCCTCCTACCCACACTCGCCGGGCGCAGGGAATCAGACGGAGTCGTCAAACAAGTGTCGAAGTCCAGTTCTTTAGCCGACAGACGAACCAACTCGCAACCAACGTAGTGGGTCCGTTTGTAAAAATTAGATGGCCAGTGCCAGAGGTGTAAAGTATCTAGCCGGTCCTCTCAATCGTCGAGGAAACGTCTACGTGCGACTCGAGTGAGCATCTTTAGGAGTGCACTGTGAATAACAAGGAGACCGGTCTCCACCAGACGTCAAAACAAGAGCCCATAGGTCTACCGGAAGTCTCTGAGCAACAGATAACCACGGTCTCTTAAAATAGCAATGACCCGATTGCCGAAGACATTTGAGGAATCCCTGGGGTGCCCGACCTCCAACGCAGAAATTGTGAATTCACAATCACCTAAAGCTAGGGGCCCATGGCTGGAATGCAAAGTCAGATGAATTCCGCGAGAGGCGATTGCGGAAGCCGAGATGTACTAGAGATAGTCTATAATAAAAACCTAAAGGCAAAAATATACAGTCATCACGAGGTGCCACATCAAGAACTCGTCCAACTGCAGAGCGTGGGACTGAAACTAAGTGGCTGAACCTTTCAGTATGGCAAAGATCACAGGTTAATTTTCAATTTCCAGGCACATTCCGTATTCAGCCGCTGTTGTGTAGGCTGTCGTGTCCGTCTCCGCCGAAACCGTCAAAAGAGCTCCTGAAACGGAAAAGGACTGTTTAGAAAACTTACAGAGTGGATAATGAATCAGTAAAACAAGAGTGTGGGACCCAACGCCATCATAGTGCAGACGCTAACTCCAAATTTCATCATAAATCAATACTAAAATGACATCCACAGAGTCAATCACCTTTTTTTCGAGGAGCGTAAAGAGAAAAACTGCGAGTTAAGAGACCTTCGAGGAAACCTCGGCAAAACAGGATCACATTTGCAGAGTCAAAGCACAGACGATAACCCACAATATTGCAGAAAATAAGGACAGGAGGGAGTAATTCACCCACATTGTCGAACAAACGTAAAGAGGATAGGTTTCAAGCAAGGAAAATCTTGAGGAAATTACCGAACCAAGACACAAACAAGCGCCATCAAAATCAGTGCCTACTACGAACAGTAATGATATGGGAATAAATGGAGGGCGTGATTTGCTGTAAATGAGCAACTAAAATAAACGGGAAAACATCGTCCAGAACTCGGGTTAGTGTGGGTGCTAACGGTCATGACTGCCATCCGAACGCGGAAAGCGGTAATTCGTCCGAAACTGACGAGGGTGAGAGAAATCAGAGTCGAAAGCACACACAAACGAAAGAGTTAAAGAGAATAGGCCTATTCAGCAGCTACCAAAAGGGGGCTGAAAAGTCACAATAGGTGTGGATTTGAGAACAATCAAAAGGAAGGATTACCGGGAACGACTTTTATTCCATATGCCAAACCCAGGACTCCCCGTTCATTCACCCGGGCCTTCAGGAACATGTCCTTATTCGGTTTGTACATCACAGCTGCGCCGAATGAAGTGGTTTTTGACGCGCCATCCCAACCTATGTTGAAGCCGCAATCCACGTCGCTATGGGATTGGAAAAGCTTTATCTCGATGTCCCGGTGGTTGGTTAGAAAACCATGCAGCTGGAATCCTTTGCCGATGTAACCCAATGAGTAAACATATTTCTTTATTTCGAATCCGTTCGTATCAACGGACAGCTGAGCACCAGCCATATAACCTTTATCACTAAAGCAGTTAGTGGTCGATGCACAAATTACCCAACAACGACTGAACCTAAGGTATGAGGGAACTTCGAGGCGAAATCAACTTCTAAATCAGCGTTCACGTGGTCTTGCTTCAAACAGGTCTTCAGTTTGAGGTTCTTTTCACTAAAGAAGGAATAAACACGGGCGGAAATGGCAGCATACCCAGCTTTGTCAACACTACACACTATATTGTGCTTCATGCCCCTTATTTTCTCTGATATCTCAACGTCGTTGGTGAGTTTCATGGCATTATCAACCTTGGTCTTTACGGATATGCCATCGGCAAGCCTGAAGGTGACGTCGCCAGCAGCTTGGAAGTCACGACCACTGCACTCGATGTGAACATCGACATCGTTCTCGGTCTTCGATTTGTAATTGAAATTACAGAAAGAATTCTTGAAATGTTTCGTGAAGATATCCTTCGCAGCTTTTCCCAGATCGCCAAACGAGCAAAGAGACATGTCTGCGAAACTGCCCAAATACTGACTGACAGGCGCGAGGAGTCGTAGAGCATTATAACAAATCTACATACGTTACTCGATCCAATGGTGGAGTAATGACAAAGACTAACGTCTCTGAATTTTACCCAGCTTCTCAATATACCGGTCCTTTTGTGCAGGAACCCGCCCCGACATGAAATCCGAGGAAGGGATTTAGGGGAATAATAACTAACAGGATGACGTAAAACAGCAGCCAAGTCGGCAGGATAAAAACCTAAAAACCGAGATAGACAAAGCAGAAGAATGAAATAGGAACTAGTTTCCGTTTATCCATAACTGGCAAATAAGAAAATAGGGTCATGAAAGCAATGAAATTGGGCAAAGAGCTAGGAACGTTCACGGGACGTCCATTCGTAAGAAAGGGGAGGGGAGTGGGTCGGGTAGCGTGCGTGGATATCGGTAGAGTATGTCAGTGAGTCACATAAAAAAATCAACTGGCTGTCTGCAACAATTAGTGTGCGTAATGTATTTGACTCTCTTCTGCAAGTTGATTGGCTTTTGAGTTCAAAGTAGAAGAAGTTTAAGACAAATTACTAAGGGGTGGTAAGTTCTTCGCCCTTGGGTTGTCGACCAATATTCAAAAGTAGAAAAATCACTCAATGCAGTGGTTATTATGGAAAAAATCACGCCACAGGCATGTGTCGATCAGGTGCAAACTGTCCTCACGGATACAATCGGATTTATATTCACAGTAGTTTCTGAACAAATGAGCATCTAGTCTGTGTTAAATTGCCTCAACAGTGTCCGAGAGCACTACCTCATCGGGCAGTCCGGTCTATAATACAACAACCTTCCGAGAGACGGTTTTCCGCTAAATGTCTAAATGGGCCAATTCCCGTTGCAAATTAAATGGGCTACGGAATGGGTGCACGTTTTAATCACATGGAAGCTTTCTTCAAAATGTAGGATGCACTGGCGTCCTCTTACAACCCGGAAGGCCTAGATGAGGTCTCGCTTAGTTAATTGGGCTGACAATTGTCAGTATTCTGGAGGAAACAAATTAAGCCTAGTAAGTCGGGCCTATTATGATACATCGCCATGACGTTTTACCATACTTGCCTAGACTAATTCGAGTAGCTGGCAGTTTTCCTGCGCCACGGAAGTCAGACCTATATACGGTGTCCGAATCGGACCGGAAGAATTCTCCGTAAGTTTTGCTGAACCGTTCTCTGCGCGAGCAGCACATATAACTCTGCTAATGTTCACTATTCGATGTCTGTGGGGGAGGTCTTCATAATAATTCACATTTGAGTTGGATTTCCAGAGAGAAGACAGAAAATAAGCATTGTAATTTGATATTTCGTGTAATAATAACAATTACTTTTTGAAGGATACTATTAAAAGTATGCTAAAACTGAGTTAGTTGGAAACACGCCGACAATGTATACGGCAACGGTCTGAGTGGGTGGTCAGGTGTATAACAGACTTCAGAAAGTATTTTCTCAAAGTCAGCAAAGTTTTTGCGTCGGCCGGCGATTTGACTTTTTGCATATGACACTTTTGATAATAACTTCCACAAATTCCGAATTGGAATTTTCCAGAAAAAAACGGCGAGCTGCGAACGAAGCAGTGAAAAAAGTCCTGAAGGAACCGCCACTTCCAAAAAGTCTTCAGGAGAAAAGCTGTTTCGTGAAAGGCTGTGGAGGAGTGAAGTAAATTATTCGCGGACGTAAAATGAAAGTTAGGGATGATATGCGGCGGCAGACCCAGGATGGTACAGACAATGGGGATAAGTGCTCGAAATCCCTGATCCCGGAACGGAATGCTGGTGAGAATCGGTGGTAGGCGAAACGGAGGCGGCTTAGAGCGTTCGCGTCAGCATGTCCCCGATGGCTTTTATGAGAGGTTGTTTAGGAAGGACATCGCGTCCTGTAAGGGACACGATGCACAGGCCAAAAAATCGGATAAACCGAAATTCCTGAGGAGAGATCGTGGAAGGCGAAACCACAAGCGGATGGGAAAATGTAAGTGGATACGGTCATTTGGCGGCGGCGTCCTAAATTCCCGATGGTCCCTTCTCAAAGTAATGAGGAAAGTTGCTCGAGGAGGATGAGGAAAATAGAAGTTTATCCGAGTCAGTATTCAGACTAAGGCACAGTCGTCTATTAAGAAGAGGCGCAGCAAAAAACCTAAAGCGTTCTATGCATATATCAGGAGCAATACGAAAAACCCGGACCATCTGGCAACCTTATAGGTAGCTCAAGGCGAAAGCCTCATTCCCTTAATAAACTGGCTTAACCTTTAAGGACAAAAATAACCGAATTGTGAGCGATGGATTTCAAAAAGCCCAGCTTCTTTCCGAGTTTTTCCAAAGTGTCTACACCACGGAACCACCCCTCCAGTTCTGTTCTCTTCCACTGCCCGCCAACCAACCACTTATAAGCACAGTATTTTTTACTCCGCAGTTAGTTTTAGCAGAGCTAAATAAGCTGGATCCGGCCAAGTCACCTGGACCAGATGAGGCCCCAGGTGTACTCCTGCGTCAGCTAGCCAAATAATTAGCAGAGCCACTTTCTATAATCTTCCAAAAATCGCTGGAAGCTGGCAAACTACCTGACACATGGAAGTTGGCAAACGTCGTACCTATCCACAAAAGAGGATCACGGCTATGTCCCACGAACTACCGGCCGATTAGTTTGACATACATTTACTGCAAACTGATGGAAAAATTAGTTAAACAATCTATAACAGCACTCGATACTTTCCGCTGTCACATTGCCTCAGTTCAACATGGCTTCTGCGAAAAGAGGCCGTGCCTCACAAACCTGCTCTCATCACTCGAACACTGGTCAAAGGCCATGAATGAAGGACATCCAGTTGATGTCATTTACTTCGACTTCAGCAAGGCGTTCGATTGCGTCCCACATAAGCGCCTCATTCAAAAGTTGTCAGAAGAAGGGATAAGAGGAAATCCTCTGAACTGGATTCAAGATTTCATAAACGGACGGCGACAAAAAGTCACTGCGGGCGGCTACTGCTCAGAATGGGCACCTGCTACGAGTGGAGTCCCACAGGGGTCAGTTATTGGGCCGCTCCTATTCATTATCTATGTAAATGACCTAGTACGGGAAGTGAAATCGGAAATAGCGCTCTTTGCAGACGATCTTAAACTTTGGAGAGCGATAAAAGATGAAGATGACGTCAAGATACTACAAGAGGACGTAGAGAATTTGTACGCATGGAGCGAGAAATAGTGCATGAAATTCAACGTCAACAAATGTGTAGTAATACACGAAGTATCAGCGAGACGAAGAACAAATGCACCCCCACGACAGTATCTCCCGGACAATCACCACTTAACACCGTAGATGTGAAAAAAGATCTCGGTGTGTTCATTAAAGACGATCTAAGCGTCACCACGCAGTGTTATAAAGTCGCTGCGCGAGCAATGTCCGTTATGAGCGCGATACGCAGAACGTTTATACACTTGAATAAAGATGTCTTTGGCAAAGTATACGGGACATTTGTGCGGCCGCACCTGGAATATGCGATACAGGCTTGGCGGCAGTGGCTTCGGAAGGATATAGATATCCTTGAAGGTGTACAACGGCGTGCTACAAAGGCAGTTCATGGCCTCAAAAACTTCAAGTACGAGCAGCGCCTGACGGCCTTGAACCTCTATACCCTCCACTGCTGGCAGGACAGAGGTGACCTCATGGCAACATTTCAGTTGGTAAAACGACATAATATGGATGTCGACAGGAAACGTTTTTTGAAATGGCGCCAAAGTCCAATCTCAGACGACATGATTACCAGCTTAAAAGGGAACTGTGCCACACAAATCAACGCTCCTCCTTTTTCTCACAGAGGATCATTCGCCAATGGAAAAATTTGCCGGAGTATGTTGTTAATTCCATTAACTTGAACGTGTACAAGAGACAACTGGATGCTTACATGCTGAAAGGTAACCCGAACTGCCGAACCCTGATCTAACGGATTACTGAATTGACTATAAATATACTACTAACAAGATTTCAACAGATCGTATTTTGTGCGTCAAACTTGGCCCATATTGAAATTTTCACAGTCCGAACGCGCTGAACAAAGTTTTTAGGTGAGCCATTCTGAGAGTGGGTTATTCAGAAAAATTATGGGACCAGGAAGTTTGGTAGGACCAAAAGACATGAAACTACACTTGGATGATGAAAACTCCATCTGCCATGTCGAACCCCATCTGCTTAAGCGTAGTAAATCGACATTAATTTTTTCAACACAAACATTTGCGGTGTTCTTAGAATATGAGTAAACACACTTGAGGTCATCGGCATAAGTAAAAGTTTGCGAATTTCCGAGTTCAGTCGAAATATCATTGATGTACAGAAGGAAGAGCAGCTGACCCAGAACCGTGCCTTGAAGTACGCCACTCGTGATCGAGTGGGGTGTCGAGTAGCTATTACCGACCATGACTTTCTGATATCGATTGGACAGATAGGACCTGATGAAGTCGAGTAGAGGCGGCCGGATGCCGAGAGCTTCCAATTTTACTAAAAGACGTCTATGGGGCACCTTGTCAGAGGCTTTGCTAAGATCAAAGTAAATAACTACCACTGACTGCCGCTCATTACGAAAAGAAGTGATTAGATTAAGAAAAGCCAAGTGACATGTTTCGCAGGATCGTTCAGGTAAAAATCCATGCTGACTAGAGCTAAGAAGCCGATTAGCTAGACAGAAGTCAAGAATTTCATTGAAAATAATCTTTTCAAGAAGCTTTGCTAGAGACGGCGTTTTGTGCACGCCCCGATAGTTATTAACATCGGACCGAGATCCTGACATGAAGACGGGACTGATAATTGACGTTTTCCATGTTTCAGGAAAGAATCCTTTTGAAATATAAACCGAGAATAAATGACTAAGCAATATGGGAAGGTCGGACGCTTGTTTAATAATCGAATTCGGAATCCCGTCCGTTCCAGAGCAGTGTGAGTATTTCAACCGGCTTATGTGCTTCTTAATGAGATCTG